ATACCTGCTTGTCACATTTAGTATTTTTTTTTGTTTTGGCCTTTTGGGTTGAGTATTTTTCATTCTTACATTTTATTTTTGGCTTATTAGTTATAACTGTTGTGCTATTTAATGTTTGTTCCAGGGTTTGTAGAATATATCTTTAACTTACCAAAGTCTATCTTCAAGTAATATTATACCATTCTTTTCTATTATGTAAGAACCTTTCAATATTATGCCTGCATTTCTCCCTTCCCAGCATCTGTACTATTATTGCATATATTTTACTTCCATAAGTTATAAACCCCACAGTATTGTTACTGTTTTCCATTTAAACATTCTGTTATCTTTTAAAAAGATTTAAATAATAAGAAAAAAGGCTTTTGTATTTCCCCACACAGTTACCATTTCCTTTGTATTCACCCAGATTCCTCTGTGTTAAAATTTTCCTTCTGCCTAGATTACTTTCTTTAACATGTTTGTCTGCTAGTGATGAATGCTTTTTAGCTTTGGTATGTCCAAAATAAGTATTTATTTTACCTTTCTTTTTAAAGTATTATCACTGGATGTAGAATTCTAGGTTGAAGACATTGCTCTGCTGTCTTCTGGTTTGCATTTCTGATATGTAATTTCCTGTCATTCCTTTTTTCTTTGTATGTAGTGAAAAATTTCATTTTATCTGAGCCAAATAAAATTTCAGTAATTTGGTTATATTAGATAATTAGTAATGAATAAAATATACAGTTTACCCTTATGAGGATTTTTTCAATCTGCATATTAAGTGGACCCACGTAGTTCAAACCCGAGTTGTTCAAGGGTCAACTGTACATATTTTGGAGATACAAATAAAAAGCTTTCTCAGTGATAGGGAGTGCATGATCAAAAAATCTTGAACACTAATTTGTTTAAGCTGTAGTCATCTCCTCCTTAGACCTCTGTAGTAATCGCTTGATATCTTTACTTCCATTCTAGTTTTTCCAGAGCTATTCTCCACTTCTTAATAGCAAGGTTGATCTTCACAATACCCAGTTGTCATTGTATAATTCTTCTACTTAGTAAACTGTACACACACACACACACACACATCTTTAATGTGGTCTGCAAAGTCTACAAGCTATCTAATCCAGCTTCTCAGGTCTTGAGTTTCATTTCTCACTCCTCTTTCTTCTGTACTTTTTCTTCCCACAGACTGCCTTTAACTTCTTTATACCAGCTGTACTCCTGTCCTTTACACATGCTGTTCTTTCTACCCTGAACACTTACCTTTCCCTTTCTTTCCCAGTTTACTTCCTACATATCTTTCAGATCTTAACCTGATACTTACTCAAGGAAGCCTGTGCTCATCTTCCTAGCCAAATTCATATTCACATTCATAATCATACTCTCATGCATACCCACATGCGCACAGTGATAAGTTTTCATGTAATACTGTGTATTCGCTCTTCTTTATACTTATCATAATTGCCACTTTACCTTTATTTGCACGAGTAGTTGCAAAGATAGTCATTGATATTATTCACATGGGTGTTAAGCTCCATGAGGACAAGGCCCATGTTTGCTTTTGTTTTTGTTTTTCATTCTGTTTTTCCAGTACTTACATATATGAGTGAATGTCATGCGAAAGAGTTTGTATTTCATCCATTAGAGGCTCTATGAAAAATGGGAGAACCTTGGCTGGGTAATTCAGTTGGAGCCTCGTGCCAAGGTTGTGGGTTTGATCCCCAGTGATGCAGGAATCCACCAGTAAATGCATGAATGGGTGGAGCAACAAATAGATGCTTCTCTCTCTTCCTCCCTCAAATCAATAAAGAAAAATAGGAAAGTAATGATGTTATGTACTAAGACTTGGACTTTAGAAAGGTTAGCAAGAGGCTTTAGTTAAGTGAAGGAGAAAGACTGGAATTAAGTAGATCCATTAGATGGCCATTATAGATGAAAAAAGATGAAGACCTGAAGTCTGGAGAGGAGATAGTGTTGCATTTAGTAGATATTTTGGAGATAGGATCCAGTAGCACTTGGTGATTAGGTGAATAGCTGACTAGTCAGACATGAGAGAAAGGAGTCAGAAATTGCTTAAAAGCTTGGGCTATTAATTTTTAGACCACTTATCAGGTAAATTAGCAATTCAAGAGAATAGAGGATTCTTTTCATTTTTAATGCAATTTACAGGCGTAACCTCTTAGGCACTGCTTTATTTATAGGTTTTTTATGATAGCCTTATTGAGATATAATTCACATACCATGCAATTCACCCATTTGAAGTATATAATTAAGTGGTTTTGAGTATATTTATAGACATGTGCAACCATCACTGCAATTTTAGAACATTTTCATCACCTAATGAAGAAATTCCCTACTCTTTAGGTATTACCTCCTTTCCTTCTGTTCCCTTCCAGCCCTAGTCTACTAGTCTACTCTGTCTCAACAAATTTTCCTTTTCTGGACATTTCTTATAAATGGAATTATACCATATATGGTTTTTTGCACCTGGATTCTTTCACTTAGCATAATGTTTTCAAGGTTCTTCCAAGTTGTAGCATGTATTAGTACTTCATTCGTTTTTATGGCCAACTAATATTTCATTGTATAGATATATATCATGATTTGTATTCATCAGCTGAAGGACATCTGGGTTATTTCAAGCTTTTGGCTATTATGAATAATGCTACTATAAACATTTGTGTACAAGTTTTTGTGTAGACATGTTTTCATTTTGCTTGCTCTTATGGTAACTCTATGTTTAATCATTTGAGGAACTGCCAGAATGTTTTCCAAAGTAGCTAGCTACATCATTTTACATTTCCACGAGGCTTTCAGTTTCTCCATATCCTTGGCAACACTTCTTATCTTTGTGATTCTAGTCATCCTAGTGGATATGAAGTGATATCTATCCATTGTGGGTTTGATTTGTATTTCCCCTGATGAGATATGATGTCAGACAACATCTTTTCATGTGCTTATTGGTCATTTGTGTATCTTCCTTGGAGAAATATATATTGAGACCCTTTGCCCAGTTTTTAATTGGGTTATGTGACTTTTTTTAAGTATGATTTTCTTTTTTTTTCTCCCAGAGAATTTTTCTTTAGTCCTTAAGGGCTCAGCTCCTTACATGGGCTGTGGTGGAGGTCGTGGGGCAGCACTCACAAGTCTAAGATTGGGGTGGGATTGTTTAGTCCTTCCAGGTTTCATGAGACTGATTCCTGACTACCTTGCTGTGAATGGCACAGCTCACACAGTAATGTAGTTTTACATACAGCTTGGGAAGCACATAGCCATCAAAGACACTTGCTTTGGAAACGTCCCTAATGGCTGCGGCCTCTACTATGTTTTGAATGACAAACTTCTTTTTATTTTTTTTTAAATATTTTGTATTGATTTTAGAGAGAGTAAGAGAGGTATAGAAACATCAGTGATGAGAGAATCATGGATTGATTGCCTCCTGCATGCCACCCACGGGGATCAAGCCTGAAACCCTGGCACGTGCCCTGCCCAGGAATCAAACAGTGACCTCCTAGTTCATTGGTCTGACACTCAACCACTGAGCTACACTGGCCAGGCTCTAATGACAAACTTCTTAATGGCCTGGTTCTTGGGCACTTAATCAGGTGCAGGTGGTGCAACAGATAGGCTGCACATGCCCGTTGCCTTTTTTGGCATACCATTGTTCCTTCTTTTCTTGGTCATCTTGGAAGTGAGGACCCGAGAGAGTTGGGTATTTGTGTTTTTTATCATTAACTGGTAAGAGCTCTTTTTATATTGTAAATATCAGTCTCATCACATATATGATTTGCAAATATTTTCTCCTCATTCTGTGGGTTGTCTTTTCACTTTGTTGATGGTATCTTTTTAAGCACAAAGTTCTTAATTTTATTTATCTATTGGTTTTCTGTCTTGTGCTTTTGGTGTCGTATGTAAGAAATCTTTGCCAAATTCAAGGTCATTAAGATTTGGCACTGCATTATCTTCTAAGAGTTTTATAGTTTTAGCTCTTAAATTTAGGTCTTTGATTCAATGTAAGTTAATTTTTTATATTGTCTGAATTAAGCGTCCTACTTCATTCTTTTGCATATGGCTATTTAGTTGACCCAGCACCATTTGTTGACAAGACTATTCTTTTCCCATTGGGTGGTCTTGGCACCCTTGTTGAGTATCAGTTGACCACAGATGTAGGTTTCTAACTTTTTTTAATAGCAAAACTATATTTTAGCTTTCATACTTTTTGGATTTTTCTTTCACAAATAATTAAAATTAAAAGAAGATTGTGCTTATTTTAAAGAGGCATTTAGGGATGTTTGTGTGATTTCAGTACTACATAGTGTACCACAGACTTGACTTAGAAAAATGGGCAGTTTGCACATGTAAAACAGCTATTCTGATCATGAAAGTTGAGTTTGGAAACTCATGTTTCACTGACAGTGACATTTTGGCTTTTTTACCAGTGCTTCCTGAGTACCAGGCACTGTGCTAGTATAGGGAGTATAAATAAATAAGTATATGACAATCTCTTCAAGTTGCTGATTATAAGATTCTGGAAGCAGAGAGAAGAAGAGAGTAAAATGACATGGGAATACCTTGTAGGTTTCTTTAGTCTGTAAAAGTGGTATATTTTGAGATTGTATAGGTCGTACAGCTATTTTCACCCTAGTATAAAGTTTTTGGTGTATTACCTTTTTAAAAAGAAAAATTAAACATTTTCTTAAAACCAAGAATCTTAAATTTAAATCATTTGCTTTTCCAGGGCTCTAAATTAGGATATGAATACCATGCTGAAAAGAAATGAATGAGAAACAGTTAGGTTGCTTTTTGTAGTTAGCTCTGGGAAAGTCCATTATTGATGACAAAATTGCTGAGGCTGATCAGATTCCATTAAATTCTTTTGTATTTCTTTTATGTATTCTTAGGAATTCAACATAATTATTCATTAAATTAGCTGGAATTGAATAATTTCACTTGAAGCATTTTTCGCTAATAAAACCTTTTCACTTAATGTTACTATATAATTTTTGTCCCATTTATCACAGGAGTCTCAGCAGTCCAGCTTTGGCCCTGGAGAACAAAGTGAGTATTTCTTTTCCTCTTGGTTTTCTTCAACATTTCCTTTCTCATGGTCATATCATATATTGCTTTAATAAGTTCCTGCATGTCTTATCCCGATTTTTATAATATGATTAGTAATGGATTCAACTGAATTTTCCCCCCCAAAATAATGCCTGTATTTCTCAGGAGATAATATGAAACCAATGCATTTGTAATGGGAATAGCAAACCAGCATTGGAACAGTGTAGTTTTAAGGTTTCAAGTAGCAGCTCATTGTGTAAACCTTAATTGAGCATTGTAAAATTAATTCGTGCAAAGCAGGATTTTGGCTAAGTTTTAAGCACACACAAAACTAAGAAGAAAGATGTTAACCAAATAATGAATGTTGGAACATGCTCTCTGGTAGAGACCAGTATATGACAATACTTTACGGAAGATGGCAACATTCTACACAGTAATAAACGTGTGTATTACGTCCATGATTCAAACACTCCAAAGAGTTGTAATGCATGTATTTCTCTATGAAAGTACCTAAAATCAATACATTTGTACTTGCTTCTTCAAAGTCTTTTGAGAAGAGTCTATCAACTGAATCTTGATATGCTTAAAAAATGAAGAATTACAGATTATTGGAGATCAAAATTAACTTTTTATTATTAAGTATTTGAACTACAAAGTTCATGAATTCAATTTGATTGACACCTTATAAACCCAAAAGCCATTCTGTCTTTCCATCTGCTTCATGAAGATACTTGGTTCTGTGATAGCAAAACTCCAGGTAAGAAGGGATCACTGTAGCTTACAATGGCTCTTCTCTTCCTGTTTGTATATTTATTTATTCGTTTGGTCTGGGAAGAAAGTCTGCTGTCTGCTACACAGTCCCCTTCTACCTCCACTCTCTTAGCCTCTCAGAGGAACTTGAGGGAAAGATAGCCTTAGGGAATTCAAGCATGGTCCCAAGACCCGATGGCTGTGCGAATTGACAGTGGTAAGGGTAACAGTAGGTCAGGAACTGTAGCAAATGTCTAGGCTTCATTATATAGCTCTGTAACAAAACCAGTGTTCTCTTTGCCAAGAGCAGTACCTTCTTAAGTAAGGTAGATTTACACTGGTAATAAGCTATTTTGGGAGATAAAAATATGGAACTTTTTGACACTTAGCATGTTATCTTTAGTGATCTTAAAAACGAAACTAGAAGAAATTCCTCCGAATATTAACAAACTTTATTTTATATATCCATTTCTTAATTCTGCATTAAAGCTATAGTTATAGGAAAAAGGGACCTGACATTGTGAATATACAGAAAACAGCTAGCTAATAGACCTTAGAGTTTACATTTTCTCTCTTAAAATCTTTAAGAATGTCTCATTCTTTCTTTTATTCCCTGACCCCCATTCTGTCTCCCAAAGCTAACTATTGGCAGATGGGATCATAAGCTGCACCTACTCTTTATTACCATTTTGTTAATTTATTTTAAAGTTTTTGTAGTATAAAGCTCTAGCTCATTCTTTTTAGCATTAAAATTGTGTTATGTTGTATGAAAATATCATAATTTGTTTGACTAGTCCCTTCTTGAGGGACGTTTGTTTCCAGATTTTGCTGTTATAAACTATATTATAATAAACATCCATGTGTATGTTCATGTTTATGTACTCCTCCAGATATATATGTAAGGTAAATTCCTTTTATTATAATTGCTAAGTCAGTGGATATGCGCATTTAACAGTATTGATTAGATAATATTATCAGATTGCCCTTCAGAAAGATTGCATGAGTTTATAGTTCTACCAACAGCATATGAGCATGCCTGTTTCCTTCAGTATCTCATATTATCAGACTTTAAAGTGTTACAAATGAATGAAGAATTGTATCTTGTCATTTTGATTTATATTTCCTTGAGGGTATATTGATAGATATTTTATAATCTAAATAGCCCTACTTCAGTTAGTGATTTCTGCATTCTTTTTATTCTAGAAAGATACAATCCTTCTAAAACCTCAAATGGGCATCAGTCTAAATCGTAAGTTTATTGTTTAATAAGTTTAATGTTTCTTTTTTGCTAAACGTCTACATCTAGTGTCTGGATATTTAGAACAACACTTAGAAACATGTACTTAATCTTTGAGTGTCTGGCAAAAACTTTGACATATTCACACGTGTGAACTGATTCACCGAGCTGCATTATTAAATCATGGAGGCTGAGAGGAATTCAGAGTAAGTTATTTGCTTACAGGGAATTAGAGAGATGCACTAAGCCCTTTTCCAAAAGAAAACTCTTTTTCTGTCCCACTTAATTGGGCCAGCTGTAAAACATGTCATAATTCTATAATCATCTGGTTACTGTGTTTCTTTGTGATTATTTTATGTGATACTCAGAATTTGGGGTCAGATTTAGAAACTCATGTTAAGCTTTGAGGGGAAAATGTAGTTATTAAAGTGAAAGATTTTTCTCCCACTGATTGGAGACTGTCATGAAATTTTGAGAAGAAAAGTAATGAAACTACTAGTAATGAGAAATTAAAACTTTTTCTAGTTTTAGTTCTCCCTAAGTTTTGTATTAATTTTCCTCTTCTGTAAAAAGGCAAGGAGTGTTTTATGGTCTGTTACTCAGATTTTAATTTTAATTTTGATGTTATGTCCGTAAGAAAAATATGTCTTTTTGTTTTTTAAATTGATTTGATCAAGGAAGATTTGGAACCTGGAGCTTATTTTTAATACATACATGGTCATTTGTATGGTATAGCCAAGTTTCTTGTCCATAATTGTTACTTCTATACAGGGTACTCATCTTGCTTAGTGAGGTATTTATGAACTAGAACTTTGCCTTTGTGTTCAGGTTTTCACAGTTACCCAGTTGTACAGATCTCTTCATGGAACATTGGGGACAATGAAAGAGAATTACCGATGCTTTTATTTTATCTTCCTTCTTTTTAGTAGTTATATCTCTCTAGTGGACTGTTGGGTATGAGTATGATAATTTGTCTTAATAATTTGTGTGTGTGTGCAATTAGAAAAAAATAAGAGATAACAAAAGTGAATATAAGAGTTTCTAGAAGTTGGCTTTTATTTAATTAGAAAAGAAAGTGAATATTTTACTTATGGAAAAGTTGGAGTTTCTGGAATTTTAAATTACTTCTCAGTTTTTACTCTGGATGTGAACCAAACCAGAGAGAATAAGACTTACTGATTCTTTTCTTTGTTTTTCACTTGAAACTTTGGTGGCTACCACAGTGATTATTTGTAGAATTCTTAGTAGATATTTAATATTCTGGTATGCCATGATAAATTGTTCCAAAAATAATAACCCTTTCTGCCTTTTCCCTCTAGTATGTTAAAAGATGACTTAAAGCTAAGCAGCAGTGAAGACAGTGATGGGGAACAGGTGTGTCTACTACTACATGATTTTGCCAGTCTCATACAGTATTTGTTTTCATTGTTTTTTATAAAAAATTATAATTGAAGAATATATTTATGATCCAGTTATTTAAAATAAGTTACTTTTTTTTAATTCTTACCCAACCATATGTTTTTATTGATTTTGGGGGGGGGGAGGGAAGGAGAGAGGGGAAGGGAAAGGAAGAGAAACATCAATCGGTGGCTTCCCAAATGCACCCCGACCAGGGATCGAACTTGAAACCTAGCCATGTTCTCTAATCGGGAATCTAACCTGCAGCCTTTTGGTGTATGGAACGACGCTCCAACCAACTGAGTCACCCGGCCAGGGCAAAGTTGGCTTTTTCTTAATACTTATCATGGATCAGAATATACTCATGAATCATGAGATTGTTGACAAGAACTATTAACAAAGCTTTTCATCTTATCCTGGCAATTAGTTATTCTTTAGGTAAAACAGTATGTTGTGTTAAGTGTAAATATTGATGCATACATTAGAGAAACCAGTTTTTCATGAAACATTCAGATATTGTTCACATTAAGCAGATGGAATGCTGTTTATTCATTCACGGATTTCCTCTCATGTTTAAATTTTAGGATTGTGATAAGACAATGCCAAGGAGTACACCAGGAAGGTAGCCATTCTTTTATTTCTTAAAATTGGTTGTCAGATTTGAATGTGTTCCTGTTATCATTGTTAAAAAAAAATAAAACAAAAAGACTTTTGGTCATTATATGTTTTATCTCTTTTAGTAACTCTGAACCTTCACACCATAATAGTGAAGGAGCAGATAACTCCAGGGATGATTCTAGCAGCCACAGTGGATCTGAAAGCAGCTCTGGATCTGACTCAGAGAGTGAAAGTAGTTCCAGTGACAGTGAGGCAAATGAGCCATCTCAGAGTGCATCTCCTGAGGTGAGAGGGAGGCGGAGGGTACCTTCCTTAGGCCCTCTCAAGGCCCCTGGTGATGGCCAGTTGAAACCTGATTCAAATATAAAAGGTGAAGGAAAGAATGTTACATATTCTGACAAAAAGAAATTGAGCTGTGTATCTTGGAGAAAACTAGGTACTTTGGTTCCTTGTTATTTGAACAAACATTTGGTCTAGATTAGGTACTACTTGAGGCCATATTCAGGTCATGAAAATACTGGAATTTTCTGTTTGGGCTTTATTTTTGTATCTTAACATGTAATTTATGTTATGTAGTTATTGTGGATAAAAAGAGTCTTATAGTGTAATTCTACTGTAGGTTGATAAAATGTGATTTGAAATCTCTATTGGTACCTACATCATTTGTTCACTTTCTGGATATTATATGGCCTTTTAAAATTTGGGCTTTGTAGATGGATTCCTGACAGTATTTAATATTTAAAGGCCATACGTAACATTAAGCTGCTATCTTCTCATTTAAGTGATTAGAGCTGATAGTCAATATTTAGCCCTTTGCTTTGGCTCAATCAGAGCTATGAAAAGCAAGTAACCTTAGTGGCATTAGGCATTGTGTTTTTCCTTTTCCTGCGACTGTAAATGAGGGAGAAAGCTTCAGTATTGAAAACGTATTTATTTCTCTGTCTTTCAGCCTGAACCACCACCAACAAACAAATGGCAACTTGATAATTGGTTGAATAAAGTGAACCCACATAAAGTGTCACCAGCTTCTTCTGTGGACAGTAACATCCCATCATCTCAAGGCTATAAAAAGGAAGGCCGAGAACAGGGCACTGGGAATAGCTACACTGATCCAGGTGGACCTAAAGAAACAAGTTCCACTACTCCTGGACGAGACTCCAAAACCACTCAAAAGGGATCAGAAAGTGGGCGTGGGAGGCAGAAGTCTCCTGCACAGAGTGACAGTACAACACAGAGGAGAACTGTGGGCAAAAAGCAACCCAAAAAGGCAGAGAAGGCAGCTGCTGAAGAGCCCCGTGGAGGCTTAAAGATAGAAAGTGAAACCCCCGTAGACATGGCTACCAGTATGCCCTCCAGCAGACACAAAGCAGCCACCAAAGGCTCAAGGAAACCCAACATAAAAAAGGAGTCCAAATCTTCCCCTCGCCCTTCAGCAGAGAAAAAGAAATACAAGTCAACAAGTAAATCTTCCCAGAAATCGAGGGAAATCATAGAAACAGATACCTCATCCTCAGATTCGGATGAAAGCGAGAGCCTTCCTCCTTCCTCACAAACTCCTAAGTACCCTGAGAGTAATAGGACTCCTGTTAAACCCTCCTCAGTGGAGGAAGAAGATAGCTTTTTTCGGCAACGAATATTCTCTCCTATGGAAGAGAAGGAACTTCTTTCACCCCTTAGTGAGCCTGATGACAGGTATCCACTTATTGTGAAGATTGACCTGAATCTCTTGACTAGAATACCAGGAAAGCCTTACAAAGAAACAGAGCCACCCAAGGGGGAGAAGAAAAATGTGCCAGAGAAGCACACAAGAGAGGCTCAGAAACAAGCCTCAGAAAAAGTTTCCACCAAAGGCAAGAGGAAACATAAGGTTTGTAAAGGTCTCGTTGTTTCTGTTTTTAAACATCAGAATCTGAAATGCAGTGGAAATCTCAGCGCAAAATCACTAGTTGAATAGTAGCCATGAGGGAAATAGAGGATAAGCCCAAGGCCCAGTCGAGGCTACAAATAGAACAGTCTCCTAAAGACCACTGTGCCTCTGCCTGTCTCCTTTAGTAAAGCAGCATCGTTTCTAGTCAGGTGCTTCTGTTCAGAGTGTGTCCTGGCCAGTGTAGAGGTGAGAATGAAGCAGAGATTGCAAACTGGCCTTCACAGCGTTCTTTAAATTTTGGTTTGAAATGTCTTTAGTTGGGGGTATGTACTCTCCAGGTTGTCACACTTCTCTCTCATACCCAGACCAAGTCGCACTTTCTAAATTACTAATTCCAGCTAAAAAATTTGTCTCACTAATTTAGACATTTCACCAATCTACTGTACATAACTATGCCCAGCTCTTTTCCCTTTTCAGACACCTATATCTGCAAGTTCAGAACTAAAAACATCTGCTGGCATATACTTCTGATCTCTAAATACTTCCAAGATAATTTGGATTTAGAAATGAAGCTTGGTGTATATATTTAAGGTCAGCTTTTTTTAGAACCTGGAAATGTGAAAACTCACGATGTCTATGATTGGAGGAAAATAGACATATAATGGAAAAAGCTGAACAATTTACATATTTAATGGAGAATCTTTGAGAAAAACAGCCTGATCTTTTCAGTTCTAGTGAGTTTTTAGAGCAACGTAAATTTTAATAATCTGTTTTGAAGAATAGTGTAATTTCCTGATACATAGATAGATGGTGAATATGATTGTAAAAGACTGAAAGCGTGAGCAGGGGAACAGATAGGTACTAGGTGGTCTCAGAGTAAAATCCCAATCCCAGCTGACCTTGAGGATAAGAATATAGCATTTTCTTAAAATGAAGTGAGCTAGAAGTTTTTCCTCTCTTTCTGTTACAACCACAGTACTACGTGCACATGAGATATATTTGAACAAACTAGAATAATACTTGTGTTTATTTTTTGTATCTTCATAAATTGAAGATACTTTAAAGTCTGAATTTCTAGAAAATTGAAGCTTATTACTTTCAGTGCTATAGCTAATGTGTTTCCATTATTGTAGTGTGGGATGCTTTATTCAACTAAGCTGTTTAGGGCTGTTTAGGGCTGCTGGCCCCTGTAGTCCACAGCCTTGGATTGTTAGATGTGGTTATGGGATTTAATTCATAGAATTAAATTCATTTAATTCATGAAATAAGAACTTGTATATAATAGACTCTGCTCTTTAGAAAACTAAGGTATGGAATACAAAGCCGGTCCTTTTGTGCTTAAGTATTCCTTGTTCTTTATAAGATTTTAAAATATTTAAAATATAATAGAGAAAATGAAGGTTCTTTTTACTCTTTTTTTTAAAAATATGTGTTTATTGATTTTAGAGAGAAAGGAAGGAAGAGGGAGAGAAACATTGATGAAGAGGGAGAGAAACAATGATGCGAGAAACTAAGATTGGTTGCCTCCTGTATGCACCCTGACCGGAGACCGAGCCTGCAACCTGGGCATGTGCCCTGACGGGATCAAACTGGGACCTTTTATTGCATGGGACAATGCTCAACCAACTGAGCCACAATGGCCTTTTTAGTCTTTTTGTTTAAAAAGATATTATTACAAGAAAATGTCCCCTTCCTCTAAAAAGAGTACCCCATATCTCCTCCCCTCCCTTATATCTCACTTGTATATATTCCTCCCAAGTATTCTTTATCAGTACTTGTCAGTCAGCCCTGGCTGGTGTGGCTCTGTTGGTTGGGTGTTGTCCCGTGTACCAAAGGGTTGCTGGTTCAATTCCCGGTCAGGTCACGTACCTGGGTTGTGGGCTTGATCCCCGGTAGGGGGCAGTGCCGGTTGCAGCCAATCGATGTTTCTCTCTCATCAGTGTTTCTATCATTCTCCCTTCCTCTCTCTCTAAAATAAATAAAAACATGTCTTTAAAAATACTTGTAAGTCAAATTTTGATTTTATAAAATATATAACACCAAGAAACTTGGTGCTGATTTTTGAGATTGGTGGCTTTGGTAAAATTGTCAGGCAGTTCTTAAAGATAAAGCAGATGATACTGACAGGAGACCCAACCAAAGGTAATGAGGGACGTAGATTTCTTTTTCTCATGTTTCATGTGTTCATCTTTAATCATTTGTGGTAGGGCAGCGATTTTCAACCTTTTTCAGCTCGTGGTACACATAAACTAATTACTAAAATTCTGTTGCACACCAAAAAATATTTTTTTGCCAATCTGACAGAAAAAAAGATATAATTTTTATTCATTCACACAGGACTGCTATTGTTGTGTTGGCTTTTGTCATTTTTTTTGTTGACAGTCTAAGGGAAAAGAAGTTAGTGCCCTTGACTAGTCAGGTATTGGATGTATTAAAATTTTTTTGTGCATACTGGTTGAAAATCACTGGTGTAGAGGAATAGATTATGTTATGGCTGCATGTTTGCAATCTTGTGCCCTGAAATTTAAAGCAAATATCAAATTGGAAAACTGAGGTTCATCCTGGGAGGTATCATTGACAATTACAGATTTTCCCAAAGCTTTTGTTTTAGCAAGAAAGTTTTTTAGAAATCATTAGGTTCAATTTACAATAAAAAGATGGGCGGTAACAAGTGTTGAAGATGTGAAGGAATTTGAATTTTCAAACAGTGCTGGTGGGAGTGTAAAATGATATAGCAGCTTTGGAATAGTATGGCAGTTTCTCAGAAAGGTACACACAGTATTATCTTATGTCCCAGCAATTCCACTCTTAGATATATATACCCAAGAGAAATGAAAACATGTCTACACAAAAACTTGTACTTAAATGTTCTTAGCAGTATTATTCATGTTAGCCCAAAAGGTGGAGAACAACCTAAATGGCCATCAACTGATGAATGGATAAATAAAATGTGGTATATCCATATAATGAAGTATATGCAGCCATAAAAAGGAATGAAGTACTGATACATGCTACAACATGGATGAGCCTTAAAAAGGTTATGCTAAGTGAAGGGAGCCAGCACTCATATGATTCCATTTATATGAACTGTCTAGAATAGGCAAATTCATAAAGACAAAATGTACAGTTTAATGATTGCTAGTGTCTTGGGATGAAGACAATTGGGAGTAACTGCTAATGGGTACAGGTGTCTTTTTAAGATGATGAAATGGTCTAAAATGTGTTGTTGTGGTGGTTGTGGAACTCCGTGAATATACTAAAAGCCTTGAACTGTGTACTTTTAAAGATTGAATTTTATGGTATGTGAATTATATCTTAATTACAATTTCACACACCCCTGCTCCCACCCAGAAATCATTAGTCTGAAAAGATGCCATCTAAAAGACTACAGGAAATTTGTTTTAATATTTGGACTCTTTATCTAAAATAGGAGCCTTCTACTGAGACTTAAAACTTACTTCACTGAACATTGTTTAAATGAATTCTTTTACTTCACATTTGTTGTCTTACTGAAGTTTATCGGGGATAAGCTATTTGAGGGTGACTAGTTCTGGAAACTAAAATTAGATGAATAAAGTTCAAGCCCAGCAGCTTTTTTTTCTGTTTTTCATATAGAATGAAGATGATAACCGAGCCAATGAGAGCAAGAAACCCAAAACAGAGGACAAGAGTTCAGCAGGCCACAAGCCATCCAGCAACAGAGAGTACGTCCCCCGAACATGTTACATGTGTATTAATATATGTGTCTCATTTGCTGTTGGGTACTTTCTAACACACTTTTATAATGTTCCTTATAGCAAGAATATATCATACACATGTATACACATAACATAAACCAAATAGTGGAAGCTTTTGCTTTTAGCTAACAGAGATGGAAAGCATTTGAGATTTAATCACTTCTTTTTAGTGGAGTTAGGGGTGAGTATAGGATAAGAATTAAAGTAAGGCTTTGCCACTTTCTGGTTAGATAAGCCTATCTGTAACTTGCAAGAGACTAATAGCTAATTTATGAGCATTAATATCTTCATTCACCATTCATCTTTTTGTTTAGTTTTGCAACCAGTATTTATCGAATACTTATTGTGTTGCAGACCAAGGGTTAGGCACTAGGTATACAACCATGGGGGAAAGCCAGACAAGATGCATGCCTTCATGAAATTTACAGTTTTGTTTTGCAGAAATCATGTATCCTATTAATCTCATAGGGAAAAACAAATTTGTCTTGAAGACAAAGAGAAATGAAAAAACTCCATTGCCCCTATGACTGTGTGGAGAAATGAGGGCATTTGTTTGGTTTGGCAGGTCATCTAAACAGAGTGTGGCGAAAGAAAAGGATTTGTTGCCTTCTCCTGCTGGGCCTGTTCCTTCAAAAGATCCAAAAACAGAGCATGGCTCTCGGAAGAGGACTATTAGTCAGTCTTCTTCCTTAAAGTCAAGTAATAACAGCAACAAGGAGAATAGTGGCAGCAGCAAAAACAGTTCCTCCACGTCAAAGCAGAAGAAAACTGAAGGGAAGACTTCCAGTACCTCTAAGGAGGTCAAGGTAAGACACTGGGGGCCTGAGTGTTTTGAAAATCAGTTCTATTGCCATGTGACTTCTTCAAGGCGACACTGCTCTTGGAAAATTTTATAGACATCTCATTAAATTTATGTGCATTTTTACTCTCAAAATGTCATGTTCTTGGTGATAAACTAATGCAGTGATTTGAGACCATGAAAGCAGCAAGTCAGCTGGCCACATGCCTAGTAATTAAGATAGAACCCATAATTGGAAGAGTTGGTTGTGGAAAACCAGTTGATTGTGATTGAATTATAAATAGCTCCAGTTGCTTCTCCATGGTTTAAAATTGGCTTTGGATTTTTTAAAATTGGATTTTACAGGCAAGTTATATTACATAAAGTGACAAAGCAACCATTTGGCTTTGATTCATGAAGGAGAAAAAAATTCTTTGAGCTAACACGAATTATTCCTAGAGCATGATCATATATAGGGGAATATTCTTAATGCATGTGGATGGAGATTAATGCAGCTTTGAAAAAGCTTCTTTGATCTGTTACCCTCTATTTGTTTTACCAGGTTATTTGCATTGCTTTCTAAACTGTTCTGATCCAGGAGCAAACTCCATAACAAAATTAAGAAAATACCTGTATTTTTAAGAATATAATTCACTGGGTTATTATTTGTAACTTAAGTAGTAAAGGTTTGAGTTGAAAAATTAGATGAAGGCAGTTAGTTGTGCTTATTAAATGTGGTAATTATTAGTCTTTCAGATTGAGGTAATTTTAATTGTGACCGTATCAAATGAAGATTTACAGAAGGCTTTTCCTTCAGCTGGGCACCCTTCTGTAGTAATTTAGAAAGTTAGTATCCTCAAGGAACCTGAGTGTCCTGTTGGCTTCCTTCACTGCTCCAGATCTCTACTAACCTGCTCATTGGCTCTTTCTCTATTTCCCCTCCTTTAATTGTAGGATTTTGAGGTCTGTATGCTTTTTTTTTAATAATATATCTTTTATTGATTTCAGAGAGAGGAAGGGAGAGGGAGAGAGATAGAAACATCAATGGTGAGAGTCATTGATCGGCTGCCTCCTGCACACCCCCAACCCGGGATCAAGCTGGCAACCCGGGCATGTGCCCTGATGGGGAATCGAACCACAACCTCCTGGACCCTAGGTTGATGCTCAACCACTGAGCCATGCTTGGCTGGGCAAGGCCTGTATGCTTTTATCATTTTTGTTTAAGTATTCATTCAGTAAGTTCACCTGCTTATTTGGCTTTTGTTAATCTCATAGGTAAAATTCACTGCCTTTGTCTCTTCCTTATTGGTTGATCAGCTTCTTGGAAACAGGGATTTGTATCTTTCTTGTTTTGTGTTTTATCCAGTGTTGAACTTACTGGGTAATCAGGAAATATTCATTGGATCAAATGTAGTTATTTGTACTCTGTTGAACTTACTGGGTAATCAGGAAATATTCATTGGATCAAATGTAGTTATTTGTCCTTCTACCTTGTTATCGACAAACTATAAAATAGAGGCCCTGATCACTCTTATTTCAGTATCTTATGGGACTTAACACTTGTTAAAATTGTTGCTGTTAGTCTTAGCAATTTCCCATTTAAACAATTATATATGGGTTTATTAAAGAAAAATCTTGCCCTAGCCAGTTTTCTCAGTGGTTAGAGCATCGGCGACAGACTGAAGGGTCCTGGGTTCAGTTCCATCCAAGGGCATGTGCAGGCTCGTTCCCTGCCCATGTGGAGGCAACCAGTTGATGTCTCTCTCACACAGATGTTTCTTTTTCTCTCTCTACACCCTCAAAAAGCAATGGAAAAAATATCCTCAGGTGAGGATTTAAAAAAAAGAAAAATCTTTAATATAGTTAGAAAATATGCTATTTCTTCTCTCAACTGAAGAAAAATTAATATGGTAAACCAAAGTTACATATAATTTTTATTTTATGTTTTTGTAGATTTTTGCTCATATCAGATTTTTGAAAATGACATACAGCAGTTCATTATAATGTCTCGCTATGCTTTTAATATCTGTAATATCTCTATTTATGTTCCTCTTGTGTTCTTAATATTAGCTGTGTGCCATCTCTATTTTTTCCTTATTCAGTCTCATCAGAAGCTTACTAATTTTACTTGTCTTTTCAAAAAACAGCCTTTAGTTTTGTTGATTCTCTATAAGTTTGTTTTCTATGTCATTAATTTATACTCTTTATAATTTTCTTATTCTTCTTGTTTGTTTTGCTATTCTATTTACTGACTTTTAGAGGTCGATACTTCATTAATTTTTAAATTAATTGTAAGCCTTTTTCTTTCTCTAATGTAAGCACCTAGACTGTATATTTCCCTCTAAATACTGCTTTAGCTGCATCACACAAGATTTGGTATATGTTTTTATAACACTGCTTTAAATGTTTTCTAATTTCCGTGGTGATTTCGTCTTTGATCAAAGAGTTATTTAAAAGTACGCTACTCAGTTTCCAAATGTATGGAGATTTTCTAGTTATCTTTTGGTTAGTCCTTCTACCTTAATTACATTGGAACTGGAGAGTGGTCTGCATGGTAACAATCTTAAATTTTGTTAAGATTTGCTTTATTTTTATAAAGTACATGGAAGATTTTTCTAATATTTTATATTGCTTGAAAAGCATGTGTATTTTACATATGTTATAGACAGGGATCTATATAATTTAATTAGGTTAGTCATGTTTTCATACCTTCTCTATGCTGATTGATATTTTGTCACTTCTAATGTTCACTAAGAGAAATGTGTTTTACTTCTCTTATTTCCACGAGTATATATAGGATTTGTCTGTTTCTTACAGTTCTATCATTTTTTTTAAATTTAGGTATACTTTATACATAATATTATTTCAGTTACAGATAATGGTTTGAAATTTATTTATTTTGTGAAATGATCATCACAATAAGTCGTTAACATCCATCACTACATGTAATGATTTTATATATCACACACACATAATTTTTATATAAGAAAGTGTATTGAAATATCTGGGGGAAAGTTTTTTTCAATTTTCAGAAATTTCAGTTTTCCTTCAATAAATCTAAAGTTACAGATCTATAAGCTATCCTAGTAATGTTACATTGCAACACAATATTCAGGAAGCCATTTCATATACATGCCAACTTGACCATGAAAAGCTTAGTATTTTTTCAAATCTCAGGACTTTAATTTTTATTCCCTGAAGTAAGCTGTAATGGTGGAACTGAAAAGTTCTTATCATACAAGAAAATAAAGAAAATGGTTATATGATTCCTTTTAAATAGATTTTAAGCACCAGTAGATAAATAATTTATTACTGGGTTTTCTGATGTTGAAACAGACATTTGTAGGATAAAGTCTACTTATTTATGTTTTATTATCGAAAGTATATATTCATTTTATTAAAGATAGGGCTGAATGGGGAAGCAGTCATAGCCCTGGCATACAGAGCTATGTTGGTAAGAGGCAGAATAAAGTTTTGTTTTGTTTTGTTTTGTTTTTTAAATATATCTTTATTGATTTCAGAGAGAGGAAAGGAGAGGGAGAGAGAGAGACAGAAACATCAATGATGAGAGAGTCATTGATCGAGCCCACAACGCGGGCATGTGCCCTGACCGGGAATCGAACCCTGATCGCCTGGACCCTAGGTTGATGCTCAACCGCTGAGCCACGCCTGGCCGGGCGAGAGGCAGAATAAAGTTTAAGAAAGTGGCTAGGCTTTTGAAATCTGACAGGTCTGGATTTAATACCCAAATTCCAGGAATGCCGCTTAAAGCTGTTTGAACTTTGTGCAAGTTACTTAACCTTGAGACTGGTTTTTATTCTATCCTAATAGCAGTACATATTTCATAGGGTTGTTGAAGGATTAATGACTGTGCTAAGTACTTAGTTAAGTAGTGCCAGGTAAGTAGTAAGAACACAGTAAATGTTAGATATTTTTATTACTGTTTCCATTAACCAGTAATTACCAGTAAATGTTGTCTTAAGTAGTACTGCCATTTTGATATTAGATTTATGTTTATGTGCCTAGGTCAGTGCCTGGCTCATAGTAGACCCCTAATATTAGAATGACAATTTTTGATAATGTTAAATGGATTCAATCTATGAAAATGATGTTTACAATTTGAAATTTAAAAATTTTATAACAAGGAAATTAATTACTGAAGTTAATGGAATTTTGTTTTCTTTCTCCCAGTGGCTCAGGAAATATTTTTAGTTTAATTTTAATTTCACAATTTTAAACATAGTTATATATTTTTTTGGCCAGGAAAAGACTTCAAATAGCTCCTCTAACTGTCCTTCATCTACACCAACTCCTGAAGCTTCTAAGCCTCGGAGAACAAAGCTTGCCTTTGACGACAGGTGAGATAAATAAGATTTTTTTATGCATTCAAGAAATCGTACCTGTCACCATGTAAGAAATTCATTTTCATTTCTGTCAGTGACTAGAAGAATTCATACTGTGATCTACAGAATAATTGGGTTTTAATTTGAAAGGTACCCAGTAGTCCCAGGTATTACTCCTTTGACTTAACTCTATGAATCTCATGAGGGATGTGAATGGTNTGGCCGGGCGAGAGGCAGAATAAAGTTTAAGAAAGTGGCTAGGCTTTTGAAATCTGACAGGTCTGGATTTAATACCCAAATTCCAGGAATGCCGCTTAAAGCTGTTTGAACTTTGTGCAAGTTACTTAACCTTGAGACTGGTTTTTATTCTATCCTAATAGCAGTACATATTTCATAGGGTTGTTGAAGGATTAATGACTGTGCTAAGTACTTAGTTAAGTAGTGCCAGGTAAGTAGTAAGAACACAGTAAATGTTAGATATTTTTATTACTGTTTCCATTAACCAGTAATTACCAGTAAATGTTGTCTTAAGTAGTACTGCCATTTTGATATTAGATTTATGTTTATGTGCCTAGGTCAGTGCCTGGCTCATAGTAGACCCCTAATATTAGAATGACAATTTTTGATAATGTTAAATGGATTCAATCTATGAAAATGATGTTTACAATTTGAAATTTAAAAATTTTATAACAAGGAAATTAATTACTGAAGTTAATGGAATTTTGTTTTCTTTCTCCCAGTGGCTCAGGAAATATTTTTAGTTTAATTTTAATTTCACAATTTTAAACATAGTTATATATTTTTTTGGCCAGGAAAAGACTTCAAATAGCTCCTCTAACTGTCCTTCATCTACACCAACTCCTGAAGCTTCTAAGCCTCGGAGAACAAAGCTTGCCTTTGACGACAGGTGAGATAAATAAGATTTTTTTATGCATTCAAGAAATCGTACCTGTCACCATGTAAGAAATTCATTTTCATTTCTGTCAGTGACTAGAAGAATTCATACTGTGATCTACAGAATAATTGGGTTTTAATTTGAAAGGTACCCAGTAGTCCCAGGTATTACTCCTTTGACTTAACTCTATGAATCTCATGAGGGATGTGAATGGTGTGCCTTCTGGTAGAACCTTACTGCTGCTGATCACTGTTTAAAATAAATAGGGGCTTTCTTAAATATATAAGAATAATGTTGGGGTTTTTTCCTCCATTTTAATAAGAGATTATTTCTCTTATTTAATCTTTTATTTACCCTAGATTTCTCCAACAACTTGGGTAAGTAATACTTGTGTATTTAATACTAGGGAGCCTAATTTCCGTTTTCTTAAGTAAAAATTTGCCATGAGTTGGCCAAAACTATTTATGTTCTTAACTCAATGTAAACATTTATCAGGAAAATAGTGAATCAAATGTTTTAGTAATAGCTCATCTTCTTGAGGACATGAAAACTGAGGGATGCTAGAGACTAAAATGAACTATTGTCATGTTATGAAAAATACCATATTATTTACAATAAAAATTTACATTGCAGAAATTATTCAGCAGACCATTATTTACAAGAAGCAAAAAAGCTAAAGCACAATGCAGATGCATTGGTAAGTAAATATTCTCCTCACATGTATATATTTAATCAGATTAACTAAATCTTCATTTATTGTTTGTTTCCATGCTACATCGGTGCAACTGTTATTTTTTTCTCCTTTCTTCAGTCTGACAGGTTTGAGAAAGCTGTATACTATCTTGATGCTGTGGTATCTTTCATTGAATGTGGGAATGCATTAGAGAAAAATGCTCAGGAATCCAAGTCCCCATTCCCTATGTATTCAGAGACAGTGGAGCTCATCAAGTAAGTGGGGAAACTTGACACATCATTGGTGATATTATTTCTCTGGTCTACCTAGGAAGGGGCTGATACAACTGTACAGTCATGTACTGCATAACAATGTTTCAGTCAATGACAGATCACATATACGATGGTCCCATAAGATTATAGTGGGACTGAAAAATTTCCGTCTCCTAGTGTCGTGGATCTGTGGTAATGTCATAGTGCAATGCCTTGTTTATAGTGATGCTGGTGTAAGCAAACCTACTGCACTTGCCTGTCTCATATAAATATACCACATACACTTACGTACAATACATAATACTTGATGATGTATAGCTGTGTTACTGGTCTACGTATTTACTATACTTACTGTTCTTTTAAAGGATACTCTTTCTACATACATTAAAATTTTACTGTAAAACAGTATGCCACATTATGCCAGCAGCAGCTTCACATATCTTATGTTTACCCCATCTCTTGATTGCATCATTTTCTCTTGCACTTCATTTAATCTTGTGTTATTTTGTACAGTAACATTCTGTACAGGCTTGTAGCCTAGGAACAATAGGCTGTATACCATCTAGCCTAGGTGTGTGGTAGGCTGTACCGAATAGGCTGTATACCATCTAGCCTAGGTGTGTGGTAGGCTGTACCGTCTAGGTTTGTGTAAGTGCACTCTATGGTGTTTGCACAGTGAGGGAATCGCCTGACAGCATGAATGTATCCCTACTGTAAAGCAGCATGGCTATATACAGTGGAGCTAAAGAGGATGTTTAATCCTTTATTGTCCTTGGATGGGAACTAGATACTTCAGTGAGTATTTTTGCCCTTATGTAGGTTAAAGTCCAGTGTTTTGAGGACTAAGGTAGTTAGAAGATCAAGTTGAAATACAGTGTCGTTTGTTTGTTATTTTAACTCACAGATACACTATGAAGCTAAAGAATTACTTAGCACCAGATGCTACAGCTGCAGATAAAAGACTCACAGTACTTTGGTGAGTGTTACGTATTCTACCTCTTTCAAATGACAGGTCGTTCCATAAGAAATTGTGCTGTGTATGTGCTTCTGAAAGTTATCCTTGAATCAACATTCTATAACCCTGTCATAAATCTCTCCTTGATGGGTAAAGTAGCAAATAATTCAAAATTCCTACTGAAAGGTTTTAATAGTTGTCAGTCCCTGATCCATTGCCCTCTTGACAAAAGCCTTGGAAGAGTGGGATTACTTAAGAACTCTCCATTGTCTTAAGTGGTCACTTTCCAGGCTCTTCTTTTGGTATCCTCTCTCCCCATTCACATATATACCTTTCCTTGGGGAGCAAATGTTTAAGCTTGCTCAGAATAAATAATGGAGTTTGTTTGCTTGTATTCCAGGCAAATGTAACAGTTGATTTGTTATAAGTATTTTACTTTACCTGGCACTATGTTTAACAGTTGGGAGTGCAGCTATGTATAGAATTGACATGGTCCTATTTGTCATAGTGTCTAGTGTGAGGAAACAGAAATTAAATAATTACAAGTATATGAATTAAGTAGTTTGGAAGAAAAGTATATGTAATGGTAAGAGTAGAGTGTAGGGAGACCTCATCCTTAGGTAGAGGGAACACATGCAAGGGCTGAATAGTAGGAAGAAACTGTAAACTATTGAGGAACCAAAAGAAGACCAGTGAGAAATGAAAGCGACTGAAGAGGTAGGCAGTGATTATCATGCAGGGCCTTTGTAAGCCATGTTAAGGCTTATATATATTTCCTCAGAGTTGTAATATTTATAATTGAGTTTCCTAGTTTTTGTTGTTTAATTTTAGATTACTTATAATTTGATCTATAGAGTCTGCCCCTCAACAGTTTTTAAGTGCATATGTTACAATGACATGTTGGATCCTGTGGGTGAGGTTTAAATTTTTGAATGACAACAAATAGGAAGCTAGTCCTAGGTATCTTTCCCTTCCTTCTCTCTAGTGTGAGTGCCATAATAAGAACACAGCTTTTGGTTTTGCCTAAGGGTTAGTATTGCTCACCTTATGCTTTGGTCTGCTCACATGAGCCAGTTCTGTACTCTTGCACAATGCAAAGATTGTCTGTACAGATGAGGCCAGAGCATGCTGTCCTATAAATAAGCTGCCCTTTTCATTGACTAGCCTGCGATGCCAGTCTTTGCTGTACCTGAGGCTATTCAAACTGAAGAAGGAAAATGCTCTGAAGTACTCAAAGACACTGACAGAGCACCTGAAGGTAAGTCTGCTAAAGAGGAGGGTCCATTTGCTAGGAGACAAAATTTGTGAAGTTTTCTATCCCCGCTCAAAAAGTGCCCTCGTTTTAACTGCCGCAAGGAGGGAGCTACTGTTTGGGAACTCTCAAATAAGTTTGAGGTTTCTTGGTAAGTTTTTAAATGCACATATATCTGTTTGTAGAATCTATGTAGCCATATTCAGTAGCTCTTAACATTTCACTAGATATAGGCTATTTTTATCATGAAACCTAATTTATACTTGTAAAATGGTCTTTTGTTTTCACTGCCATCTTTCCTTAGACTTACAGTTTTCTAAAATGTCTTTCTGTTTTTTCCTTTAATAGCAACACATAAGTCTTCCTCAAATCTTGCCATGATTATGACTTGGAACCCTTCAGTAGCTTGCCATTCTCTGCAGGGTCAAGTCCAAGCTTCTTACCCTGACCTGCAAGATCCTCAAGATCTCTCTCATTCCTTACTTAAACCTGTGCTCCAGGATAACTAGGGGTCTCTCATACATTCTCTTTTCTGCAGCCTTTGTATGTGGTATGACTCACCTCTCCCACTCTATCATTTTGAATATTACTCATTCTTTATGTCTCACTTAAGTCTTCCAGAACACCCCAGCTCTTACCCATAACTTCTTTCTATTGCACATTTATACACACATACACACACACATGCACACATTTTGGCTTTTAATTTACAAGGCTGATCAGTTCTGGACCAGTGTTTTTGAATATATTTAGTTTTATGTGTGTGTTTTATAAGTAGTTTTATGTGTGCGTTTTTAAATTTTTGTTAAGTACATTTCATTTTCTCCACAGAATTCTTATAATAATTCTCAAGCACCATCACCTGGCTTGGGAAGGTAGGTCAGTTTTATTCTATAAAATATTATTTGTGACAGGATTATTTATTTATTTATTTTATTTTTTGGGGGGGGGGTGCTTAATTCACTTTATTTTTCTGATATGAAATTATGTGGTGGCCACAGCTGGAGCCTGGGTCCTTTGCACAGAAACTCTGGTGTGGGTCTTTACAAGATGGTCAGTGAATTCCTGATAGAAAGACTTGGTGAAAACAGTCTCTTTCCAGAGATCTGGGGTGAGATAGCTGTAGGTCTTAGAGATGGCATCAAAGGTGGCCTTGGCGAAGTTGCCCAGGGTAGCTGTGCAGCCCCTGGCCGAGGTATAGCAGTCATCCATACCAGCCATCAGCAGCAGCTTCTTGGGCACAGGGACTGAGACGATGCCAGTGCCCCTAGGGGTGGGGGTGAGGCCACCAGTACAGAACCACAGTGGCCAGTCACCTTGCAAGGGACGGTGTGGGGCTTGCCAATCTTATTCCCCCAGTAGCACAGGAACAATAGAGAGCTTGGCCAGGATGATGGCCCCACGGATGGCAGTGGCTACTTCCTTTGAGCACTTAACATCCAGACCAACATGTCCATTGTAGTCCCCAATGGCGACAAATGCCTTGAATTGGGTCCTCTGGCCAGCCCTTGTCTGCTTTTGCATGGGCATAATCTTCAAAACCTCATCCTTGAGGGATTCCCCCAAGAAAAAGCCAATGATCTTAGATTCCTTGATGGGCAAGGAGAAGAGGTAGATCTCCAGGGACTTGATTTTCATGTCCTTGACCAGGCAGCCCAGCTTGGTGACTGGGATCCACTCCTTGTCCTCGGCCTTGCCTCCACGAGCTCCATGGCCTCGGCCCCTCCCCGACCCCGGCCACAACCTCGGCCGCCGCTGCCAAATCCTCCACGGAAGCCGCGGCGGCCACTGATTCCAGGGTCCCCGGGGCCTCCTGGGGCCTTCGCAGCACTGGCGTCATCCGCCATTTGGTGTTTCCTCAGAAAGAAGCAGGATTATTTTTATGTAAAAGTGGAATGGGTAGGGTCTGACTTCCAAAATGGTAAGATGACAACCATTTAAAAAATTAAAACCATCTCTGATTAAGAATTTTTAAATATTTTAACTTTTTTATAAATTGAAATAGGATAATGAACATAATCTTACAGATTAGAGAGGAGGGAACATTTCACCTGCAGAAATCTGAGTTTTTTCAGCACCTTAACTCTCCTTACAGGTTGATTTCTTTTGCTACTTGGGTTTTTATCACAGTAAGTTTATCTGTACTAATATCTTGGCACTGCCAGAATTTAATAATCAAGGCATGGTTGTGGTTTCTCCTTCACCTCCACATCAGGTAATTGACATTTTGTCTGTGCCTCTCTGTATTTTCTTAACCAAATTATAGTGCCAAAAGTGCGGATAAAAAATATTATTTTTCTTCTTTTTTAAACAATTTTTTTTAATCCTCACCAGAGGATACGTTTTTATTGACTTGAGAGAGAGAGGAAGGGACAGAAACATCGATGTGAGAGAAACATCTTTTGGTTGCCTCCTGTATGCACTCTGACTGGGAATCAAACCCACGACCTTTTGGTGTACTAGACGGTGCTCTACCAACTGAGCCACACCGGCCAGGCTCGATAAAAATGTTCGTAGATAACTTCCTGCTTACCACCCAACTTTTGTTTGAGTTTTCCTTTTTTACGGTCTTGGGCATTTCTACAAATTTTAGTACTACTGAAATGAACCTGCTAGCTTTCAGAATGTGTTCTAAGAAATATTTAATTGACAGAAGCTTGAGATGATTACAGTTGATTGAGAAAGCTATACCTCTCTGTCAGTTCTGAATAACTTGGTTAAACTAGGAAAGTACGAGAAATTATGTAATTCAAAATAGGATGTTCCCATCTACTACCACAGTTATTTTGTGCTAAATTGTTAATTCCACCCAATTTTACAATGCAGTTTGAAAAGTGCCTAAATATATGCCCATCGAAAGTGTGTTGAATTTTTGAATGAGGCCATCTGATTTACTAAGTCTTTGAACTACAGTAGTAACATTTCTTTCTCATTTCTTGTTCTGTTGCCATTTATTAAAACGGAGTCCAGATAAGATGATAATTCACAGTGGTCTTTTAGTGAGCAGAGTATTTATTTAGAAGAAATTGTACTTCCCTGGGAACCCTTCTAGTTTGAAAGAATCTTTTCATTTGAAAATTTCATGTGGGCTCCTTCTAAGAGCCCGTACATAGCACATTTATTTCATCATGTTCACCATATTCATATGAATAAATGTCCTGTTTCTTTGTGTGTAGCAAAGCTGTTGGGATGCCTTCCCCTGTTTCTCCAAAGCTGTCGCCAGGCAATTCAGGAAATTATTCTTCTGGCACCAGTAGTGCTTCAGCAAGTGGTTCTTCAGTGACCATTCCACACAGGATCCACCAGATGGCAGCCAGCTATGTTCAGGTTACATCTAACTTCCTCTATGCCACAGAAATTTGGGATCAAGCTGAGCAGCTTTCCAAAGAACAAAAAGGTAGGATGGTCTCTGGAGAGATTTTGAGGGGTAGAATTGTTAAAAGGAACTTTTATGACCTAGTTAAGTAAGTGTCTGGTCTGCATTTTAAGTTTTTTATCTAGTCAGTTTGCTAATCCCCATTGCTTAGCAATCATATCGAATGTACTGAATTTGGTCAGAAAATACCTTTCACTATACTGGTGACACAAAGTAAACTAAAAATAGTTTTTGGTCTAAGACAAATATGCTTTGTTCTGGTATATTAAACACAGCTCATACAATAAAATAATAAAATATATGTTCCTGTTTTAGGATGATTAACAGTAAAATTGGCTATAGGCATAGGATCACATCCAGACTTCTTATACATATGAGATATTATAAGAAAACATGTTCATACTAGACTTTTAGGTATATTGGAAGAAACTTATGTGATACAAGAGACTACAAAATGAATAGATTTCTAGCATTTTTAAATATTAGATAATTTGAGGCTTGTACTTTAAATTTGTTATTGCCCAAATTAAGAACAGTGAGAATTATAAAGATTTAAAGACCTTAGGAAAAAGTACTATATAAATACCATGTTATTTTAGTAGATGATGTTAGTATATATGTGTGTGTGGCATCTATTCCAGTAGATCCTTTGTGGAGAAGCACTAAAGTAGTCAATCAAGTGTCCTTTTGTCACAGTACATTTGAATACTGATAGTATGAACAGATAATCAGATGGAAATGAAAGATTCCTCTCCCTAAAGAGAGGGGTAATGGTGACAGAACAATAGAAGGGGGACCCCAACATCTAACAAGGTTGTGTTTTTAAATTGTTTCTAATATTTTAAATATTGCTCAGGAAAGGTTACAAATTTGAAATTCTTTTTTAGTCACCCCTACTTTTACTTTCCATTCTTCCTCCTGATTCGAGTTTTGGAGCCTTTTTTCCTTTCCTTTCCTTTCCTTTTCTTTTTTTCTTCTCCCTTTTTGTATGGCAGTTTTCCAGCACTGACTAAAGGAAACAGAATGATATGACAAACCCATGGACCTTTCATTCAGCTTCAGCTTCAAGAGCACAATATTTTGCTAATCATGTTCCATCTCTCCCTGCCCCCCATTCTTTTCCCCACAGTACTTTAAAGCAAATACCAAATCATGACATTGCACCTGAATACTTCGATATATACATCTTTAGGTGATAGACTTTTCAAAAACATGATCACCATGCCTTTATCACAGCCACCCAAATGAACTATCATCTTACACCTAGTCTGCCAGCAGATTTTCCTATTATCTAAAATATGCCCTTTTTTTAACAGTTGAATTTGGTTTAGATGGGATCTAAACATTTATTGATCAGTCTCTTAAGTATCTTCCCCTCTTCTACTTTTTTTTGGTGTGTGTGGCCATTCTACTGCTGTCAAGGAGAAACTGGGCCATAGACTAAGTCATATTCTGGATTTGATTGATAACTTTCTCCTGGTATCATTTAGCTTGCTCTTCTCTGTCCCCTTAATTTCCTTCATACTGGTAGTAACATCTGTTGTTTTCTTTCTTTTTCCTAATCCTCACCTGAGGATATGTTCCTATTGATTTTAGAGAGAGAGAAAGGGAGAGAAAAGATAAACATTGATGTGAGAGAAACATCAATTGGTTGCCTCCCACACATGCCCCACCAGGGATCGAACCCGCAACCTGGGTACGTGCCCTGACAGGGAATTTGCTCTGGTGAATGGGATGGTGCTCAACCAGCTAAACCACACTGGTCAGGACTGGTAGTTACATCTAGAGGCTTGATTAGTTAGACTTGAGTTTATTATGTTATTTTTTTCAAGTTTATTATTTTAGATAAGAATGTTTCATAGGTGGCACTCTAGATTTTCAATTACATCATAGTATAAGGCATGCAATGGTTATCTCTTCTTTAGTGATAATAATATTTGACCATTGATTCATTTAGGTGGTGTCAGTTTGATGTAAGATTCCCTGTTAAACTTTAACTTGATGCTTTTAGCATCCATTTATGATCATTACCTACATTTATTATTCCATTAGGAAATAGAAAATGCATCAGAAATTTTCTATTCTGATATTCCTGCTACATTAATTAGCTGGAATTCTATAAAGCAGAGCCTTTTCTTCTCAGCTGATTACTTCTTGCCTTATTTGAGTAGATCTTTATTATGAGAATGACCCCTTTTTCTGTGCATCTGTATCAACTGTCTTTATCGTCTGAGTCCTGCATCCCTCTATCTCCCAAAATTGCATTGGGATCAAATGTTAGGATACTCTTTTCCCCTCTTCCTCTCTACACCCCCCTCACATGCACATCAGTCTATATTTGTTCACATAGGGAGAATCCTTTTATTTCTGTCCCTTATATTTTTAAACTACTAACACATGGGATTTATCAGTGTTTCATGGCATATGATTACAACAGAAAGGTTAAATGTAAGCTGTCATAAGTGTCTAAGCCTCACAGGGGCTCTTAAGGGAAAACATGCTTCTTATGCAAAAAACAGTACACAGAGAATGTTTTGAGTAATAATAGTACATTGTAGTACTTGGTCTCCATTTTAATAATGTTTACTGCATGCTAATAGTTTATAATTTCCATCAGCGGAATTCTGCTTATATGTATAATGCTTAATTCCTGATCATACAGTTCATTTAAATGTTTTGTGACTTAGGGAAAAAATATAACTTGAGACTATGGAATAATTTGTTCTAAGACACAGACAGTTATTTTAGTGTAGGAGGGTGTGTTTTTTTACTTCATATGAATACTATTTTACAATCTAGACTAAAAATTTTAAAGCCAGTGATTAAAAAAGAGTGTACATCATTTAATGAGTGTTTTTGGTTTTCTAGAATTCTTTGCTGAACTGGATAAAGTAATGGGCCCTCTCATCTTTAACGCAAGCATCATGACAGACCTAGTTCGTTACACCCGGCAGGGACTGCACTGGCTTCGCCAGGATGCCAAGTTGATATCTTGAACTGAACACATTCTCGTTGCCTCTGATTTTCTCCACAACACTGTGTTACATCACGAAGGAAAACTGCCATAACATGCCACCTAGTCAACACTAAGAATGAGGAATGGTTTTCTCCTCCCTTGTTCATGTGTTATTGTTTTTTATAACCCAAAGCCATCATGTCAGTTGACCCCTTCAATAGTCTCTATATGAAAAATTATTTAAATGCTTTTAAATCTGCAGCATATTGATAAGATGGTTTCGGTAATCTGTAATAAGATTGAAATTCCAGTTGCAATTCATAAGTAATCAATTGAAATTCTATTTATTGTAATTTTTTTTTAAGTTCCCACATTGGGGCTAGTTTAAAACTTAGTTATTTCTGCCTATAAATTTATCCTGTTAAATATTTAGCATAAATTTAATGTAGGCACTTTTATTTATATACTTTGGGAGCTTTGTTACCTAATAATGTCTTTTTGTGGTAGCTCTTCTAAGAGTAATAGTTGGTTCATCTAAAATATGGACATGTTCTTTCTGTACCTACTACCTGATAATATTTCAAATATTAACTACAATTTTATTAATGCAGAATTTATACTTAGTATTAATGATATTCTTCTACATATGAAAATCACTTAAATATGAGAAGATAGCATTCTACATGGATGTAAAATGAAATATGTCTGATTTGGTATGCATTATTTCAAGAACTGTGAATGTGTGTTGATAACACTAACAATCACAAGGTGACTACAACTTGCATTTAATGCATTACAAAAGAGGGCAGGCAGACTTTCGAGGAGAAGCATATCAAATGAAGGGTTTCATAAAAGGACAATCTTGAACTTTATGGATTTTACTAAAACCATGTGTTCTTTTATGTTGCTAATTATTTGACACTTAATTGAAATAGCATGTTATTATGAGCAAAGGATGATCCTACTCCTGAAAGTTGCTGCCTAAATCTTTTTCATTGATGATCTTTAAAGGGTAAAATCTCTCTTCAGGATTCTTATGTAAAAAAATTTTTTCCAAACTAGATTGTGATGCTCTGATAGGAGCCTGCAGTGACTAATGCAGGAATGGGCTGGAGCCTTAGTGTGTGTGTTTTGTTACACAAGTTAGAGTTCTAATGCCTGATGTAGAGATGATGAATTTCTCCCTTTAAGTCTGTTTTGTAATTATTCCCTTTGTATTATGAAGGCCCTCATCAATGATACATGTTTCTGATGGGATCAGAAAATTCACACTAGAAAATTACCTAACTTGGTTCAATGTGAGCTCTCTTGGGAAGGGGTGGGAAGTAGGGGTATTGCTTAAGAAGCCAGCTCTTTAAGAGTTGTATATCAAAGTACCTTTTCCTGTAAGGTGCATATAGGAGTCAAAGGTGAGAAATATTTCCTCTATCTTGTTTTAGTGCCCCTATCATGTCTGGTGTGCCTTAAATCTTACCTTTAAATGAAGACTCTAGACTGTTTACAGATGAAGTTTTACACTAGGACCAGATCACCAATATAGTTGGTTTTCTGCAGTAACAATGTTAAATTCTCTCTCCTTTTAAATCTTCCTTTAGGGTTGCATAAAGGTTAATTCTCCAGAAAAGCGAATGCTTTGGTACTGAAGGTAGTCTAACCTCCTGGGTAGTGGGCATCAAAAACAGTTTGTCCTCTCCCCGTTCCAAAAATGAACCCACCCAGTCAGAAAAAAGAATTATCCTGCTGTTTATAGATGATTGCTAAGGCTTGAAATGGGAAAGGAGGAATAGGAAATCTCCAAGCCCAGTGGTGCAGTGAATTCTCTGTGTTCGAGTCTCTTTTATACTTATTCTGAAGCTAGGGAACTTTCATTGTCCTGTGGCTTCATATTTCTAGAACTTCTTTACTGTTTTGTACCTCAAGTTGTTTTTGCGTATCATTGAAGAATGATAGCTATGAATTATGTTGACCACCTTAACCCTTGGAGAAATTGCCTCTCATAATCTTTCTAACTTAAACTTCGTGGGTTTTAGGAACAGTTTTCCTTAAGAGGACAACTTCTCAGTGTCCATGGTAGTTATTCAGTAAGAAACTTGCCGCTGTTAATCCAAATCCAGTAGACATATGTCCTGGCCTTCTGACTTCTCTGACCTTGATTCCTTCATTTGTAGTGATGTCCTAGAAATGGAAAAAGTACCCTTTGAGCATTTAGATGGTCAGCAACAGCAGCTTGTCGGCACCTCGGAGTTCCAGTGTGTTCTAGTCTCTAGTGTGTCCTCAGAGGCAGCAGGAGCGTTTCTGGAGTCACACATTCATTTTGTTAAAGCAGAGTTTCCTGCATGTATTATGGTGCTGCTTTAAGATTCTCTCTCTCTAAACTGTCAATTCTTGGAGAATGAATTTTTTCAAACTTTTCACTGTGGCGGGTTTTTCCCACCAGGTGGTAGTGGGCAGTGGATCAAAATCCTGTCCTAAATCATTGAATTTTTAAGGCAATGTTCTGTGGAAACACCACTCCCTCTCCTGAGCCCATCTCAGAAGTTCTGTCTGTGTCTTCATCTGCTCCAGCACGTACTTTGGACTCCTTTACAGGTGACCATTCCTCCTTCCTCAATAGGCGTCTTCATTGTCTCCAACCATTTAAAACTAAGTTTGACAAGTGGCTAAAAACTTAGTCTGAGACTTGTATTTAATATATAGTTAATTCTAGAAATAGCAACTATTTAAAAACTACTGTTGACTGCTCTTTAAGACCACACTTGTATGAGTCAGCAGCCTACACCATTGGATTCTTTATAGGCAACCAACCAGCAGATTGTTACATAGTAGTCTTGCTCAGCCTGTGCAAAGCTGGGCTGTGGAGAGAGCTTCCCTCCAGGTGATTCTCAAGTTTCTCCAGTCCAGCCCAGGCCCAGTCTTGCTGGGGAGCATTCAACGCATTTCTTGCCTCAGTGCCACCTTTTTCTGGGCAAGTAGCCAAGAACTGACTTTAAAAGCAATGAGTGAGTAGAGTACTTCCAATAAATTTACAGTTATAGTTGCTGAAGAGTGGAGAAGGCTGACCATCACTAATTTAATTCTCCAAAGTAAAAGCAATCTAGAGTAACGTGTACACATGCCCACACACACCTGTGCTCTGAAGAGCTCTCGCACTGATGGATCCTTGGGCATCTAGGCTGCACTTTGACACACACTTGTGGCTTTATTAGATTCACTGCTGTTGTTTTTAATTGTTTGTTTCTTTTAATTAAAGAAAGGTTTAATCAGCTAGCTCAGACAGCATCATTTTGTGTTTAATGACAGAAACTTTGGGAAATTACCTTTACTGAATGAGCTTGCATTGTAAAGCAAGCGCCTGCAAAAGGCACCTGTTCTGAGTGAACGTTCTGACTGGAGTTTCAGAGCAGCCAGTGGTCTCTCCAGTCCGTGAAGCCTAGTTGTGCGGAAGAGAGTAGCTGTGCACTCTTCCGGGTGTGAGGGTATGCAGCCTTGGATTGAAAACTATGTACACATACACACTTTATATATATGTATGTAATGTATGTATGAAAACATGAACTTAGTTTGTCAAAAATGTGTGTGTTTAGTATTTTAGCTTAGTGCAACTATTTCCACATTATTTATTAAATTGATCTAAGACACTTTCTTGTTGACACCTTGAATATTAATGTTCAAGGGTGCAATGTGTATTCCTTTTAGATCTTTAAAGCTTAATTACTATGATTTGTAGTAAATTAACTTTTAAAATATATTTGAGCCCCTTTGTAGTATAATAGGGCTCTTACAGGGTGGGAAGGATTTTAATTTTCCAGTTGCTAATTGGACAAAATGGCCTCATGTATTTTGAATTATAGGAGTTTGCTCCTGGGTCTCAGGAACATATACTTGGAATGACTGATTTTAGGCAGATTGTGGTGATGTTTTTAAAAGCAAACAGAACCTAAGAAAATTGGGAAAGCATTTCAAATCCATATAGACTCCTAAACTCATGTTCCCTAATTATGTGGAACACAGATGTCATTTCAATGTCATGTATCAGTGTGTTGGGGAGGCAGACTTTTTTCCAATAATAATACTGCACATTTAAGGTTGCTATTCCATAAGATAAGTAGAAGAGATAACTATGGAATGACTTGGAATATGTAGTGACAAGAGGCCAAATTGGTCATGTTTGTGAGCATGTCTTTCACATACTCACTGAAGGAGTTCAGTTTAGACCCCCTAGACCCTAGAACCAAGTTGACAAGTAACAGGAAGCAAATTATTAGTAGTTGGTAAAGCAGATGGTGATTCTATTCAGTTGAACCCTATTGCTAATTAAAATGAACTTACTGTCTCCAGAAAAGGGAATGGAAACAATATCTGAGTCTCTTCTCTTTTATAGAATTTGGTCACAGAATAAGGCATCCGAGTTTAGTCTAAACCGAGTCTTGTAGGTCTTTTAAGTTAAGCATCATAAAATAGCAGCCTAAGTAATCATCATGTAATGAAGTGGACTTTCAGGAATGTCTGCATATGCCTCTCCTTGCCACCATTGCTCAGCTAAGCATAAATTGTGATTCTTAAAAAGAAACAAAAAAGTTCTCTAAATGAGCATGGGAAAAACAAACAAACACAACTCCCACCCGGAAATTCTAGTAATACTCAGTTTTGACCTCTTCCTGCTTCCACGTGGAGTTTCTTTTCAGCTTTTAACCATTGGAATTTTCTACCTGCTATGTTCCTCTCTGGAAAATCTCTCTTTGGAAATGCTGCCTTTCAAGTCAATGCCATGATTATCCATGTTGAGTTTGTTGTTGCTGTTCAAGAAGCGTCCCTATTTTACAACTTTATGCACACACCTGGCAAATCATTGACATGAGCATTCAACAGTACTGGGGTTGGGTTAGGGTGGGTTGGGGCGGGGCTCACCAACAGAGCTGGCCCAAGTGGCAGTGCCTGAAAAGGCACCATCTTTGAGGACCAGATGTGGGGTTGGTAAGCACAGTTATGAAAATTTCTATCTAGCCTCCGTTTTGAATGGTTTTAAGAAATTTTGTATATGGAGGATGGAAATGCTTATATATTTATTGAAAATCCTTTTATCTTATTTGAAATTAAAATTATTTGGTGAATAACGGTTTGATATTTGGGGAGGGTTTTGAAGGGGAGGTAATGCCGCTGATAAATTAGAAGCCTTGTTGATTCTGCAGAAAGGTACTGTTAGTGTCTGATTGGATGCCTTTGTTTTGTACATGATCCAAATCTTTGTTTTACATTTCTTTTATCCAAAATATTTAGGCATCTGACATTTTCAACCAAAATTTCAATTATATACTGTGATTTTTATTTGTTGCAATATGTTAAAATTTCAGAGGTACTTTGGGGTTCAAAAGCTAGGATTTCTAAGTCAGTATGTGCATTTCACATAATAAAGCTGTTAATGGTGAGCAAAGTATTATATACTAACTAGATTTTTCCACATCTGTATAGTATATTATATGTATTTTGTGGTATTGAGATTATAGAAAGTTTAGAGTGTCAAACATGCGTTTAATGTGTATTTTTAAACAAATTTATGGCAATTAAAATATTTGGAGACAAGGGTATCACATTTCAATTTGTAAAGATCTTTTTAACTCTACTGTGTCATTAAGATGCTTTGTATAATGCCAAACCATAGCTGGAGAAACTAAGTTTAATAAATATCAAATAGATTTTCTGTATTAAAGTTTATAAACACTGTCAATTCTCAGTTTTCCCTTTTCATATAATTTCTGTTTTGTGTTTTAGGGTCCAATGCTACTCTTCTTTAAAAGTCTGGTCCCGCCAGTCCAGGTCTCACTTTCTAATTACCGAAATGCTATATTTTTGCTGGCCATGGGTCCTATTGCATAGATCAGAATTCGCCCTGCTCCAGCAGAAATCTCAGACAAATCCTTTTTGCTGTTCTTGGTGCCTTGGGCTTTTATTGTTTTATTTAACTAGATTTTTTCCCACTTCTGCCTTTTCAGTCACAGACAAACTGGGGCACATCATCAGGTAGCAAGTGCCAGCACTGGCCATCTTTGGCACCCAGGATCCAGGGCCACAGCGTAGGAACTTGCTGATCACAGAGCTCGTACTGAACCGTAGCCTGCCGTCGGGCTCTTTACCTCAATCGGCTGCCTCCTGCGCGCACCCCAGCCGGGGGTCGGGGGCACAACCTGGGCGTGGGCCCTGACCAGGAATAGAACCCACGGCCTTTCAGTGCATGAGATGACACGCAACCAGCTGAGCCACACCGGCCAGGGCGTGTGCTTTCTTTCCTTTTTTCATTTTCTTTTTAATCCTCACCCGAGGATATTTTTTTCATTGCTTTTCAGAGAGAGTGGAAGGGGGGGAGGGGGACATCGACATGAGAGAGACACATCAGTTGGTTGCCTCTGGATGAGCCCTGACCTGGGTCAGTGATTGAGTCTGCAACCGATGTACGTGCCCCTGGCTGGAATCGAACCCAAGACCCTTCAGTCTGCGGGCCAACGCTCTAACCACTGAGACAAACTGGCTAGGGCATGTTCCTTATTTCTTGAAAAAATGTTAACTCGCACTACTTTAGTTACTACTCTGCTAACTTTCAAGATCAAGAAGTAATACATCATCACTTCTCGGCCTTTCGGCTAAGATCAAGTAACAACACATCATTATTAGGCAATGCTGTTTTTTCTATAGTACACAAGTGAACCTTCTTCCCCTCAAAGGCTTAAATTCCAGACTGCCAAAATTTTGAATTTGAGAACTTTAATAGTATACATAGAAAAATAAACTCTAATTTGACAAGTTTAGTTATGCTCATCTAAATAACATTCTAAGAAGAAACGGAGTCCAATTTAAAGCATACATCTGTTTTTAAATATTAAAAACACAAGATTGCTTCACTTAAGTCTCCAACCAATACACAGTTCATCAATATTCCATAGAACGGAGCATTGTTGTAGCTGAGTGCTGTCCTCTTTTTCCCTGGTATGTACATCATTCCTGGGCCACACTTAGGGAACAGCGTCTCTTTCTACGGGAAAAGAAAAGGTAGGTTTTAAGACAAAAGGTAGCAGTGCCCAGAGCCAGCCTGCCGTTTCCTTCCTCTGGTCCATCTATCCAAGCTTAGGACTGCAGGAAGGGAAGGCATCACTCTTCCATTGCACCTGTGTGCGCCCGTCCTTGGCTCTTAATTCCTGAGGCATTTGCCAAGGAGCTCCCGGCCTCAAGTCCTGCATCCCAACTTTATTCTTAGCTGCGTGTGTGCTGATCTCTGCCCAGCTCTGCTCCTGGGTTTGTGGAGTACCTGCAGAGCCTGGTGATGCACTCAGAGTCATCCCGGCAGGAGGCTCCAATGGGCCTGAGGGAAACCCCTCTCCAAAATGGGGTCATTCTCCGCAGCCTTCTCTTTGCTGAACTCAGTTCCGATATTGGGGAGCCATCTACNGGAGGGGGACATCGACATGAGAGAGACACATCAGTTGGTTGCCTCTGGATGAGCCCTGACCTGGGTCAGTGATTGAGTCTGCAACCGATGTACGTGCCCCTGGCTGGAATCGAACCCAAGACCCTTCAGTCTGCGGGCCAACGCTCTAACCACTGAGACAAACTGGCTAGGGCATGTTCCTTATTTCTTGAAAAAATGTTAACTCGCACTACTTTAGTTACTACTCTGCTAACTTTCAAGATCAAGAAGTAATACATCATCACTTCTCGGCCTTTCGGCTAAGATCAAGTAACAACACATCATTATTAGGCAATGCTGTTTTTTCTATAGTACACAAGTGAACCTTCTTCCCCTCAAAGGCTTAAATTCCAGACTGCCAAAATTTTGAATTTGAGAACTTTAATAGTATACATAGAAAAATAAACTCTAATTTGACAAGTTTAGTTATGCTCATCTAAATAACATTCTAAGAAGAAACGGAGTCCAATTTAAAGCATACATCTGTTTTTAAATATTAAAAACACAAGATTGCTTCACTTAAGTCTCCAACCAATACACAGTTCATCAATATTCCATAGAACGGAGCATTGTTGTAGCTGAGTGCTGTCCTCTTTTTCCCTGGTATGTACATCATTCCTGGGCCACACTTAGGGAACAGCGTCTCTTTCTACGGGAAAAGAAAAGGTAGGTTTTAAGACAAAAGGTAGCAGTGCCCAGAGCCAGCCTGCCGTTTCCTTCCTCTGGTCCATCTATCCAAGCTTAGGACTGCAGGAAGGGAAGGCATCACTCTTCCATTGCACCTGTGTGCGCCCGTCCTTGGCTCTTAATTCCTGAGGCATTTGCCAAGGAGCTCCCGGCCTCAAGTCCTGCATCCCAACTTTATTCTTAGCTGCGTGTGTGCTGATCTCTGCCCAGCTCTGCTCCTGGGTTTGTGGAGTACCTGCAGAGCCTGGTGATGCACTCAGAGTCATCCCGGCAGGAGGCTCCAATGGGCCTGAGGGAAACCCCTCTCCAAAATGGGGTCATTCTCCGCAGCCTTCTCTTTGCTGAACTCAGTTCCGATATTGGGGAGCCATCTACCTGTAGGGCAAAGACAAAGTCACCTCAGGTGTGGAAGAGCTGACAGCCTGCTGCACATCTTGGAGGAATGGTCATTCCCAGGATGCTGTAGACAGAGCAGAAGAACCATCCCTCAGGTCCGAGGCTGGCTCTCGGGCTCTGCTTACAGCAGCGCCATCCCCACACATCCACATTCGTATCCTTACCTGGCCCAACAGTAACAGGCAGATCACGAGCACTGCAAAAAGTTTGAGGTGCCACATCCTGACACGGGGTTGGCGCCTAAAAGCCAGGGGCAGTTCCCACTTCGTTTTATAGACTGAAATCTGCCTCTTTTATGGTTGCCAGGTGAGGTGGGGGCAAAGTTTATTTTTGCAATCAGGGTTGATTTAATAAGTTAATGCCTACCAGAGGAATGTGCTCAAGGCCTGCCTTTCAGGCACGTTGTATTTACTGATCTCTCCTCTGGACTTTGAGTGATTATGTTGGCTGGCTTGGACCCTTTCACCCATTTTAGCAAAAGTCAGCACCCCCCCTCCCCTGTGAAAGCCACGTGAAGCTATTGAGGGAGGCCAGGCACCTAGCCACATTTTGATTCCAAAATAGCTCAGTGAGATCACTTTAATCAAAATAGTTCTAATGAGGTCTTCAGAAATAGTGTTGACCCCTTTCAGCCTTGTCTAGGAAAGAGGCACTGATCTGTTTTGTTATAGGCAATTGGATAAAGCCCCTAATCCTACTGTGGGAGGATGCTTTAGCAAGCATGGTCTACAGTGCCCCAGTCCCTCATTTATGTAGATTGACTGTCACCCTAATTCTCTGCTCCAGATCATCTCCCTGGAAGAATGGAGACCCAGCTGTGGAAAGTTCAAAATCTTGTCTACCTGCCCTCTCCTGGGGGAAGGGCCATCAGGACTGACGGGGGACTTCTGTGAACCACAGGTGACTCGAATGAATGAGTATAGGTTGATTTCTTGTTTTGTTCTGTGAGTGACTTGGGCTCCTAAACCAAATCACATTGCGAAGCCTTGAGTTATGGGCTTTCCTCCCAGTAGGTGACTGGGGCCTCCTAAAGGGCATGTCCTTCCAGCAGCCTCAGGGAAGCTGGTCTAAGGCTAAGCTGTCTCCAAAGCCCAAAACCCATCAGCTGAGGTGGGGACTGTTGCTGGCTTCTTGGGGCATGGACCTAAATCATGAGTGGTTATGGGTACTCATTAAATGACAAGGGCATTTTAGTAAATTGGGGGGCAAAGGTGTGAATTCTGAGTAAAGACGTTTATAGGACTTTAGATTTCCCTGTGACCTAGAAGTATTCACCGACAAGACAGATGCAACAAGATTTCTTCTCTGCCTGGTGTCTCCGTGAAAATTTTGCTGATAGCTATTCCCAAGGCCCTTCTCATCTTCAGAGGTTGGATATTTGTTGAGAACCTGCCTGTTCTTCAAGAAAAATGGAGGAGATGTGGCACAGCTTAAGGTGAAATTGAAGGTCGCCAATCTCTGGCCAAGGAAGAAGAGTTTGGTATGGTGGACCTCTCTCAGAGTTGGGGTTGGGCGGGGTGTGACCACAGATCTGTCTGTCCTGGTTCCAGCTCTCTCAGGACCTTGGAGCCTGGAGGGAGACACCACTGCTTGCTCTTTAAGAACATTGAGAAGCAGACCTCTGCCAAACCCACCTAACCAATCCTGCGAGTTTGCGACTAGTTAGCTGCTCCTTCCCTTTATCCTGAGCTTGGGTCCTGAATGACCCCACGTAGGGGCTTAACTAGCAATTTTTGTGGGGTGGGGAAGAGGCTACGTGGTGACCTAGTGAACATTGGGTAAGAACAAATCTGATTAGATAAGCAAAAGACTGAACAACGTGATGTCCTAGAGCCAGTTGGGTCTGTGGACTCAGTGCCAGCCTCCCCTTTATCAGCCCGGAGTGATTTGCCAAATGAATTCCTCCATTTTTGCCTCCCTGTACTCCTAGCAAAATCAAACTAGCCTTTTGTGTTAATAAAGCCAATACCACAGCCACATGCAGGGTCGCACAGTCCCCCTGTGCACAGAGGAAAAAGACCATTTGTCATCATGAGTGTGACGACAATGCAGAAGCCTTTGTGGCTCAAGCCTCTATCTCGCCTGCCACCTCCTCCCCAAACAAAAGAACCACCAGTTACTGCGGTGGAAGAAACGGAAAGTATTTAAACATAGGTTTAAACTAACCTTGCTGCTGTTTTATTTAAATTGAACATGGTATAAAAATCAAACTTTTAAAAGAAGAGTGGAATTCAGGCAGCATTAAGCTGAAGTGACAGCAGGTGTCTACCGCCATCCTGTACCCCTTGAGTGGTTGTGAAGGCCCATTCCTGAAATTTAAAAAAGTTAAAAATTGTAAATGTCACAAGCTCTCTGCAATCAAGTATTTTGCCAAATGAGTAAATACACAACTACATGTTCCTTCCTCCAGGGAAAGGCCTAATCAGCCTTTAACAATTTCAGCCATAAGAATAGTTCTTGGCTAGGTGGCGGGAGTGGGGTCCAGGTAGGGTGACTGACCACAGGCCAGCCTGTCCCCTCTGGGCTTTAGTGTCTTGTTCTTCCATGAGATGGGAGAAGATCCCTGAAGCCTTTCAGGCACTGACATTCTGGGGTTCATATGATTGATTTACAAGAAGAAATTGAGACTGAAACACATTTGATAGTTTATAGCTTGGTTAACTGAACACAGCTCCCAGGGATTTTCTGCTTTGGAGGTAAGTGCCTGGGATGAAGTGGGAGGAAGAGAGTGTAGCACACGAATGGATGTTTGAAACACATTTCAGGGGTAGAGATCATAAGGGCTTCATAGTAACTGGAAACTTTTGCTGTCCCCAGTCAGGAGGTGCTTAATAAAAATGACTTTCCTGAAATGTAAAAACTTTTCCAGATGCAATTTCAACAAAGGGTCAAAGTGTATTCGCTTTTTTGCTGGCTGGCACTGGCAGACCGCTGGGCCTGCACTAGGTAGACCTGTATCTCCGGGACAGTTGTTGGCCAACTGAAGAGTTCCCTTGGCCACGTTCTGCAGCCCAGAGGTAAAAGCCCTTGTTGCAGTAGGAGCACTGCAGGGGGAAAGAAGGGCAAAACCAATAACTGGCTATGCCCCCAGCAGCACGTGAAGGAGCCGCACCCAGGGCCGGAGGGCCCAGGTGGGTGGGTTATAGACACTGAGGCCATAGTATTGGTCCCTCTTCCTTAAGAGACTTTACCCAAGTTAAGTTTTCTTTTTGGATTTCTACAAATGGTCCCTAAAATGATCTCAGATCCCATATCATGTACAGAAGCACTGAACTGTGACAACTTGTCACATTCTACCATCACCACCTCAGCACCATGCTACCCAGAGTTTTGTGCCCCCAAGTTTAGAGAGGAAGCCCTTTGGTGAGAAAGGCTTAAAAGCAGCCTTTAACAGTTTTATCTAAAAGCAGAAGCTCAGCATATAGAGGGCTTACAGGAGTACTCTAAAAAGCAGAGGCTTGCCCAGCCGGGCGTGGCTCAGCAGTTAAGCATCGAACTAGGATCCAGGCGATCAGGGTTCGATTCCTGGTCAGAGCACATGCCCGGGTTGCGGGCTGCAGCCGATCAATGACTCTCTCATCATTGATGTTTCTGGCTCTCTCTCTTCCTCTCCTTTCCTCTCCCTGAAATCAATAAAGATACATTTAAAAAATAAAAATAAATTAAAAAAAGCAGAGGCTCCTGGGATAAAAAGGATTCAGACCAACAGACTGGGTGCTGAGAAAGGGTAAGTTTGATTTTGAGCTGGTATCTCCAAAGGAGTCAAAGAAGCCAAGTATGCCCTGGCCAGTGTGGCTCAGTTGGGCATCGTCCTGTGCATCAAGAGGTCGCCAGTTCGATTCCCAGTCAGGGCATGTGCCCGGGTTGCAGGCTGAATACTCAGTAGGGGGAGTGCAGGAGGCAGCCCACTGATATTTCTCTCATCATTGTTTCTCTCTTCTCCCTCTCCCTTCCTCTCTCTCAAATCCATAAAAATATTTTTTAAAAAATGAAGCCAAGAAGGTGGGAAGGGGCAGCCATCTCCCCTAGGAAGCTTGGGACTAAAATTGTGTAGGGGAGAGAGATTCGTGAATGGCAGTGATCTCCCCAGTGCGTGAATCTGTTGAAACAGCAAAGTTATGGATGGGTGCATTTACACCACCCTCAGGTCCACAGCTCTCTCTCAGTCTCAAAAAAGTCCATGGCCCAAATATGTTGCAGATCACGCAAGCCCTGAGAATAAATTTGGACAAAGGACCAAACAGGAAAATTAAGCCATGTTTGGTGTGTTTTCATTATATAGCTGACCTTTAAGTCTACACCACCCTGCCATGGGTAATATTTATTACCCATGTATATAATGACTATAAAGCAACCCTGTGGCTTTGTATACATCTGTTTTATGGGCAGCAAGTTCAAAGTTCAGGAATGTAGGTTTCTTACCTGTATCACGGAGAAACAGTTAAAAGGTATAGGCCCAAGCCTGTCACTCAGCCATTCCCCTTTATCCTGCCTCACAATAAATATAATTTATCTTACCAATTTTTTTGGTTTGGTTTGGAAGTATTTTAACTTTGGTTCCTAAAATCATTAGAATAAGAAGGGAAAATACAGCCTGAGACAGAAGCTGAGCTACAGTGAAAGTTGCTGCTCTGGACCAGCAAGAAGTATACTTAGAAGAGAGATTTCTAGAAATGGAGCAGGGAAGCAGAAGCATATAACTGCCAACGCTTCGCAAACTCCTGATGAAAGGAAAAAGGTACATTTTAGAGTTACTGTTGTGTTCTCAGAGTTCCTGATCCCTGCCAGGGCTGCCCGGGTGGCTTCCCAGAGCCTTGACCCAGCCGCCACCAGCTTCCCGGCTGCCATGAAGGAGCCTACCCTAGCAGGGGCACCATCCAGGGCTCCGAGGGCAAGAGATGAGTGGTGTGGAGGTTATAGGAGCTGATGACCCCATGTTGTCTGGCAACAAAGGAATTTCTGCCTTCCCTGAATCAGACCTTGTCAAGTGGGTGGGGACCAACCATGGAGCAGCTGGCACAGTTTAAGACATGAGGTTCAAACTCTCCCTAGACTTCCCCAGTGGCTATCCTTACAACACACCCATGGCAAAGTTCCTACCCCCTGCTACCACCCCAGTGTGGACACCCAGGGTAACATCTGCCTGGACATCTGAAGGACAGGTTATCTGCCCTGTGTGACGACAGGACCACCCTGTTCTCCATCCAGAGCCTGCTAGAACACAACACGGACAGCCTGTTGAGCACACATGCTGCCCAGCTCTGGAAAAACCTCACAGCCTTTAAGAAATACCTGCAAGCCCAGCCGGGCGTGGCTCAGCGGTTGAGCATCGACCTAGGATCCAGGCGATTGGGGTTCGATTCCCAGTGAGGGCACATGCCCAGGTTGCGGACTCGATCCCCAGTCAGGGGCGTGCAGGAGGCAGCCGATCAATGACGACTCTCATCATTGGTGTTTCTCTCTCTCTATGAAATCAATAAAGATATATTTTTTTTTAAAAAACCTGCAAGAAACCTATGCAAAGCAGGTCTCCAGCTAAGAGCCGTGAGCTCGCTGTCCAGTCTCTTTCCTTGTGTTTTTTCTAATTACATTATCGTTTATTGATTTTAGAGAAACATCGATTTGTTGTTCCACTTATTCATGCATTCATTGGCTGATTCTTGTATGTGCCCTGACCAGGGATAGAACACACAAACTTGACATATGGAGATGCTCTAACCCCTGAGCCACCTGACCAGGGCCTGTGCTATCTTTTAATTTTTTCCTTTTATGTTACGTCCTTGCCTTGACTTCTGTATAGGACTCTGTATCTTCAGCTGTGGTGTCATATTTGTTTTGTTTGCTTTTATCAATTAAGTTTCTGGTTGAGCCCGTGATGAATATATTCAGTATTTTCTTTAAAAAAAAATGTTTTCCTACTAAAAAGATCATTCAAAGGCTCCAGAACAGGGGTAAAGTATTCCTATAAGTGGCCAGAGTAAGTATTTTAGGCTTTATGGGGCATATGTGGTTAAACCAGTTAGCAACCTAGTACAAATAGCCAGAGTGCGGCCCCAGCTCTAGAAGTCAAGGGGTCACTGACCTCACCCCTCCTTTTATAGCTGACTTCCCCTCAGGCTAAAGAAGGCCTGCCTTAGGAGAAAAGGCAGTACAGTATAACTTTAAGAACATGAACTTTAGTAACTGTATAATTTTGGGCAAATTGCTTACACACTCTGTGCCTGTGTCCTCATCTGCAAAATAAGTGTAATGACACCTCAAAGGTAGTTGTGAGGTTTAAAAGAACTAATTTGTGTAAAGGACTAAGAAGAGTACCTGACACATAGTAATTACAATATAGTTAGATTTTATTATTGTTATAGGATCAGAGGGATGGGAACCAACACTCCCCACAGTCCATGCCACCCACAACTGGCCAGCTTGCAAGAGTAGTGGCAGCTCCTTTCTTGCAGATTATACTGTAGAACAAGGGGCGAGCCCCACTCCTTCAATAAATTCCCAGACTAGCCAAATTGTTCAGGGCTCATCTCGGGAAGGGAGTTCATTAACTTGAGTATTAGCAAGTCGCACCAAGGACTCTGCTCACAAAAATGCAAAATCACAACATTGCAGTCCATAAGAAGTTTATTGTGTCTTCAAGACACTATACAGTGTAGACTCCTCTCTCAGAAAAAGGTCTTTCAGACACAGGGAACCATCCTCCAGATGAGTTGCTTATTGGTCATTTTCATAGGTAGCCGGATTCTTCCTCCTGGATTTCTCAAACTCCTCGGTCCCCCATGTGTAGACAAGATAAAATGCTACAAATGCTTTAAAAATCAAAAGTGAGAGCAGTGAGCACATATAAGACAAAGGGGTCCCTGTCCTCTTTTCTGAATCACAACAGATTCTGCCTTCCTGATTCTAGTTTTCAAAAATCCACTTTTAAACCTTTTGACCAAGAAGGGTTACATTAGCGCCTGCCGGGTGGCTCAGTTGGTGGTTGGAGCATGTCCAGTACAGCAAAACCATGCCGCTTCAATCCCCAGCCAGGGCACATACAGGAGACAACAGATGGCTGTTTCTCTCACATGGATGCTTCTTTCTCTCTCTCTCCTTTCCTCTCTCTAAAAATCAAAAAACATCAGGCGAGGATTTAAAAAAAAAGAAGGGTTACATTACACTCCCATCTGATAGATGACCAAAAAGATCTACCTGGGAAATTTGGTCACCAAACCTCCCCTATCTTTTCCCTGAAGCACATTTTAAATTTTTTAATGAGATGAGACAAAATTAACACAAACTTCACCATTTAACCAGATTCACAATGTTGTGCAACTACCATCACTATCTGCTGCACATTAACACAAAACAGTTCATCGCTAAGAAAGTAGTGGGTAAAGATGACCTCGGAGGAAGTCGGAGTCACACAAGTGACCTTGGGCCAACTCATTTAAGTTCCCTGTGACTCCGTTTCCTCATCTGTAAGATGGAGACGATAATATAACCAGTTCAAGGGCTCTGAGGAATTTTCAGCGAGAAAACGTGTGTTTGGCGAGCGCTCCGAGGCTGGGCCCGTTCCCACCCAGACTGGGAGGCCGGCCCTCCCCGGCCCCGGCACTCACGCGGCGCGGCCCGAAGGATGGACGCCTGAATGCGGCGCAGCACGTTGGGGATGCCCTTGCTGAAGTAGTTCGGGAAGGCGCGCTGCTCGAAGGGCGACAAGCTGTAGGTGATCACATGCCGCACCCGGGTCAGCTTCCCAAACTCGCGGCCCATGGTGGCGGCGGCGCCTGCAGGACCGAAGGTGGACAGGCGTCGGGTTCAGTCCTGGGACGCGCCGCCCGCACCCGACAGGCCCTCCCGGGCGCCTCTCGTCCACCCCAGCCCAGGCTGCGCCCCCACCCTTCCGGCGGCCAGCACGACCCCGCCACCGGACCCCACTCCCCACACCAGGGTCACCTCGCCCTCCACAGTCGCGGGGCACACCGACTTCCGTCCGCCACTTCCGACAGGACCGGAAGCCGCTCTAGGAGGCCGTGAGGTCACTTCCGGGGAATACCATCTTCCCGCTGTCTGAGGGGAAGGCGCTGTGGGCCGCCCCCCTTCCTCCCCGGTTCTGGAGAGAGGTGCCCTGGCCGGTTGACTCTGTGGGTGGACGGTACCTGGGCTGGGGTTGGGGTGTTGTGGAGGACGGTCGTTGTGCGGCCGTTGGGGTCCGGGGCGCCCCTCCTGGCGCGCGCACGTCCCCTCTGCCTTTCGTTGGAGCCGCTGGAAGCGGCCGGGTGCGCAGGGGACGCAGAGGCGATGAGGCCGGGCTGCCGGCCTCGAGCCCTCCAGCTGTGGAGAGCGCCCCGAGGCCCGAGTGGGTGCAGCGAACGCGAGGTGTTACTCCATCTGGTGCAGCAGCTAAAACCCGGCTCGACCCCAGTACCAAAATCAGGGACTCAGATCTGGGGCCTCTCTTGACGGCCGCCCCCTGAGAATCCACTGGCAGGCCGTAGGCTTTCCCAGGGTAGAACAAAAACGTTTCTGGAGGTACATCCACAAGAGCCCCCCAGTAATCGTCAAGCAATCGATAAAGGACTGTTAAGTGGCGGTTAAGAGGGAAGGAGCCTCTC